CAGTGTCCCAGGGTCATGTGAAGTGACCAAAACCTGCTGCAACCACCCAGCAGATGGGGGGAATAAAAACCAAACACCCCCCCCACCCCACCCCCGCTGCCAATCCTCAACAGAAATGCTCACAACAATGAAAACCTCGGACAGGAGGAAGAGCACCGCCGGGTGTGCAGGCAGATGTGTTGCTCGGCTGTGGCTTGGGGGGCACTTTTTTCAATGCCATTGTAACTTTGAACAGTCACTAAGCGAACTGTTATAAGTCAAGGACTACCTGTACTTTATCACTTTTTTCCTCTTTTTTTTGGTCATCAAGTTTTTGACACCTTGCTAGGCAACTGGTGGTACTCGGATATTGCCATATCCTAAAAATGGTAAATGATCAGCAGAAACCCAAGTCAGCATCCCTCATTCTGTTTGAAACCTTATGATGAAGAAAAGCAGGAGTGCTAAATCTGCCCTGACACCATTTCAGACTTGTAAATTAACTTCCTTTTATTCATTCTGACTTGGAATCAAGGCTAACTACTGAGTCTAGGAATCAGAAGACTATGCTTTTCTTATTGTGGTCACTCCCTTTTACTTTGTTCATTTGGAAGAAACTGGCCTTACACTTAGAAGCTTGATCCTGTCAAGGATGGGATTTGTTATTAACTAAAAAAAATGGTAAGAACATATGTTTTTTGTTTTTTTTTTCTCTTCTTTGTCCACAAACAAATAATGAGAATTAGTTCTAAGTGACTGTGGGATGAATATCAATTTCAAAACTGTTTCAGATAGGATTCTGGGATTGAAATATTCTTCCTTGCTCTGATCAGTGAATGAAGCTGAGACCCAGACAGGAAGCATATAAGCTTTCTTACAGTGTTATACGAAAATGTGTGATTTAGGATAAAAGGAGAAAAATCCAGATTGGGACTGTGATTTGTGGAAGATAGTTTAGCTCTTTTCATATAATAACAGTCCTAATGAAGCTTCACCCCCCCCCACCCCCAAAGCTTCTCCTTGTTATGGAAGAGAAGCTGCTATGGCATTAGTCCATCTGCTCAGTTTGCTGAGGAGCTGGGGACAATAAAAGCATGAAATTGTGGCTAAATTGAAAAAACATGGAAGATTTGGCTTAAATCCAACGATATAGGAGAAAAAAGGAAATTTTCAAAGAACCTGCCCCATATATCACTTCCAAGGTAATCTAAGCTAATGGGGGGGAATTAACTTACAAAGGGTCACTCCCACATGTTTATTTACATAGGCAATGACTAAAGATGGAACCTTCTTTGAAGTAGCATCACCTTTGGAATTCTCTCTTCAGAAAAGCTACATTTTATTCTTGTAATACCTGGAAGAGATATGGTTTATTTTCTCAGGCAATTAACATTTGCATGCTGTTTGAACTTGTATCTTTTAAATTCCTTCTGTTGCTTTACAGTATTTTATTTTTATTATACAACATGGGACTGAAAATGTGGTGTATACTTGACCAAGTTATTTAAGTTGAAGTTGAAAAAATCAATTGCATGTTTTCTTGGATAAAATTCTGCTTTTTAAAACCTTTTTTAATATAGTTTTTAGCCCATCTCCAGCAATAGAAACTACCCTGTTATTTAGTCATAATGATCTGAGCTATAGAAGAAATGGGAGTGTGATAATTTTATGAATATTCTGAAGCTCTAACAGATGAGAATATTAAAAGACAAGTCATTTTAATATTTTCAGCTGTTCTTTCATTTTGGACAACTAGTCCAAGTTGTTCAATTTTAAACCATGAATTTTATTATAGATCTATAACTTATTAATATGTGTTATTTCACGTATCTGGAAGCTTTATTATTCATTCTGCTGTGTGGAGCCTTGGACATCTGCCCCAGTAGCAGTTTTGATCCTTTCCTAAGTGTAACTCCTAAACTTTAAATGACCTGAAGATTTTTTATTTGAAAGTTTGAATTTGCTCCCAATAAGCATGCATACAATAAAAGGTGCATCATGCTGTATAGTCAACATTGTTTTAGGCAAGCAGAACCATATAATATGTATTAACTCATTTGCGGAGTTGCAAGAAGGGTTACTTTTATTCAGTTTAGTTTCAAACTGGGATGTAATAATAACTTGTAACTTATAAAAATTATGATATTGTACTCTTAAGTCAATGTTTATTTTTTATTTTTTAAAATGACACAATTTGTTATCCCAAAGTCAGGATTATTTTTATTACCAGGTTTGTTCAATCTGTATGAAATAATACATATAGTCCATATTTTTCAGTTGATAATAACTCCCTATTAGTAGAATATGGAACTTTGCTATTAATTGGACAAATACATATAAACAAGGATGAATACAGGACTCAGGAGCACATTTTATTTCACACAATCTTATTCATAAAGGTGTTACAAGTCAATATCCATTACTAGGAATCTGACTTATACTACAACAGCACTTTAAAGACTGTGCTGCATTTATCCCAATAATTTTTTGACAATTTCTTTGAGCATGTTTTTTATGACAAACAATCGTCCAGGGTCACTAGGAGTTGGACAACATATAAATTTAACAAACAAATCAATAAACAAAGACATTCTGAAATCCCTCTTTTCTCAGTACCATTTTTGCCGTAGATACAACCAACATTTTATGATCATGCCGAGGATGGTGGGATCTGCCACCAACCATTAACCATTTAAGACTATGGTGGGCAGACTGCTTTCCCTCAGATCACTGGGATCTTCGTTCTGTGACCATTTCATCTTCAGCTACAGAAGAGAGCAAACCCTTGGCTTCTGAAAAAGTATTTGTGTAATGTTTGACCAGTGAATTGGAGAGGACCAGTCAGGTATTAACATGAATTCATTAGATACATACGGATAAGTACATCTGTTTTTAAATACAAGTTTAGCACATTTTTGAAAGAGTGGTAGATGTGTGTTTAAAAAACAGGGCTAGCATGCTCTGATGAAAGCTCTAGTCCTGCCTTTCAGAGTCTGGGAAAGATGCTCAGGTTCTGCCAGCTTGCATAAGTTTTATTTATTGGGCCTCATTCTGCAAAAAAAAAAAAAAAAGGTTTTGTGTAGCCATACCTTTTTCCTGTTTATATTACTTTGTGGGGTTGTATGTGGCAATTTTCCCTAATCCTGGCCCACCTTGCATATGCTTTGGGTTCCTTCTAGGTCACTCATTGGCAGTACTGACATATCCTTGCATTACTTCTCAATCTGGAGTAAGTGTGTCCTATCAATTTCTGGTTGTCCTCTTGTAATTGAAATCTCAATCCATCCCTCTGATTAATCACTTCCGAGTAATACAGTACTCTTCTCATTCTTTGCAGAACCTTGCAACTGTTCAAATGCACAAAAGAGCCGAAGTGAAAAGATCCAAGGCAAAATAGGCAGGAATTCTTTCCTTCAGCCTGAGTGACCAGTTGGAGGTCCAATAGTATTCTGTGACTGGGACATATCAGTTGGCCTAATTTTGAACACAGGGCTCTTCTGGAAGAGTAGTAATACACCCATGTCCAAAAATAGCCTGACTGACACATCTGTAGTACAGAGAAAGGGCACATAAGATGAGATAAAGGGGAGCATCTTGCTTTTCCAGATTACCAATTGATCAGCTAAATTGTTTTGGGACATGGCTTTGCAAAAGGATAGATTTCAATTATATTATTGGTCAGAAACACTTCACTAATTCCACTTCTTGCAGCGGCTGATAAATTGTGGTCAAAAGCAGAGATTGTTTTAGGATTCAGTGACATAAGATGCTACTGTACCACATCTGAAACATATGAGCTTTCACAAATGTCATCTCATGGAATATACATGCCATTATGGAGGTCAGAAAATGAAACTGTTAAGAAATGGAATTAGTGAAGTGTTTCAAACTGTTAATACAGGAATTTATCTTTTTTTAACTTTCTTCACAAAATTTTATCCTTTAAGTACTATTTCCCAGCTGCTGAATGGCAATATGTGCAAGAGTAATAAAGAGGCACACACACACACCACCAGAACCTGGAGCTGGGCTTGATTCAGATTTCACAAATCTCAACATCGCTGCCTTTAGAAAACAGACAGACCAATTGCCTTGCCTTTCTCATTCGTTACTGATCTGAGCCCATCAGATGTGGCCATCATAGTTTAGGAAAGTCAAGCATGTGTGATGTATGCAACACACATAGATGTATGCAACTGAGCATACAGAGAATAAGCTATCAAGCTCATCATTACTGAAAATATTTGAATAGCAAAAACAAGTGGAATGCAAAGTGGATTCCTAAAATTAAAGAATTACTAGAGAAACCAAGAATTTAGTCAATAGACTGCATACAAATGTCGTGACTGTAGGTGATGCGTTTAATTCTATTCTATATTTCAAAGACTTTTCAAAAACAAAAATAGCCTGACTGACACATTTATCAAACATGTCTATCACAATCATTTTATTGCCCCCCCCCTCCATTGATGAACGATCGTTATGATTAGTCTCTGATCTATAATGGCTCATTCACTTGGGTTTATATTCGTGACCACCCCTCTCACAAACTTGTACTGGGATATGGGGGGGGGCTCTTAAAATGGGACCACACGAAAAGTGCTGAAAGGGATTCAGCAACGGGAAACATGGGAGGCTGATGTCGGAGTGGACTCCTCCCCGGTCAGATACTAACGGTAGTAATCAGTGACCGTTGGCCTGACAGTTGGGGCTGCTCGCGGCTGGCTGTTGGCCACCGAATGGAGCCGCGTGATCTCCCGACATCTGTACCGGCTCTCGCTAGGCGGAGGGAGGACGGTCAGGGGAATCCCTCTCTTCCTCTCTCACTTACTCACTCTGTGCCTGGGGCGCGCGCAGCGTGTCTTTTGTGTTTGTACACACGGAGGCGGCCGCGGGAAACCGAGAGTGGGCGGGAAGGAAAGTGGATGGGCGTGGCCTTTCCTTCCCTCCATTGTGCGCCATTGGCGGTCTCTGGGGGAGGAGGCGTTGCCTGGGCGGTCGAGGGGCGTAGCTAAGCAGCGGAGTCGGCCTTCGCGAGTCAGCCATCTTTCAATTGTGCTCTCATCCGCCGTCGCCCGCAGCAGCTTCAGCACCTCCTCCTTCGTTGCCTGCTCGGCAGCCGCGCTCAGCGTAAGCGGACGGGGGTAAGTCTTCAGCCTCTTTTACAGGACCCCCCCCCGATCCCGGCTCGGCCGAGGACCCCTCCGAGCTGCCCCCTGGCTCCCCTGGCAAACTTCTGGGAGCGAGAACCGCTGTTGGGGGACAGGAGAGTCCCTTTATCTCTCCGCCTTCCCGAGTACGGCAGAGAAGCTCGGGCTGCTCCTTCCCTTAGTCCCCCCCAGCCCCACTTTGCTTGGTCGTTGCCCCCTTCTTTTGCCCTCGCCCTCCCCCAAACCTTCACTATCCTTCTCCCCGTTCCCTCGCCTACTACCTCGCCCCATCGCCGCCCTAGATGGGAGCCGGGAAACGGCTGCAAAGGGAAGCCCGTTGCCAGCCCCGGGAAAACTCTCCTTGCCTCTTCCCCACAGTTGTTGCTCAGCTTCACCATCTTGTCTCTTTTCTCTGGTCACCGACCATATTTTTTTTTCCTATTGCCTAAAAACAATCCAGAGGGGAGAAATGTGCCTAGGAAAATCCTTCGCACCCGAGGAGATTTTTTTTTTTTGGGGGGGGGGGTTGTCCAAACTTTTCCTCTCTCCCTTTAGCCTGCCGGATCCCACCTAGTTTGAAGCTATTTTGAGACGGTATTGTGATGCTGCTGTTTTATTTTATTTTTGCCCCCTCCCGTCTCCCAGCAAAGGGAGTAGGGCTGTCTTTTGGTGATTGTTTCCATTTTGTTGGGGCTGAGTTTGCCTGCGAGAGGCGCTTGGGAGCCAGGCAGCGGTAGGACTGGCACTTCGGCAGAGGCAGCACCGAAGAGGCAGGCAGCCCCCCAAAAAGTTCGCTCGATGCTTTGTGGCTCCTAACCTCTGGACTTGGCTTTTCCTTTGGTGGCGGAGCTCTGGCTTGCGGGCGCCTTCCATTTGATTCCCTTTGCCCGGCCGGCCGACCGAGGCGAGCTACGGCTCCTTTGCAGCAGAAGCCTTGCCGAGGCTGTCAGCCCGGGCTTTCCCCCCTCTTGTTTGCCCCTGGTTTTAACGCGGACGTTTGCCCTTCTTTTACTCCATTCAACCTATCAGTTGCACGTCCCCCCGATATCTTCTGCAATTGGGGACACTTTTCCGTCCCCGCGAAGGGGAAGGGGGGGGGAATCGAGGTGTTGCTTTAAGGTTGGAGGCACCTTCGCTGCATCGCTCTCCAATTTGGAGCGCTGGGCAAGAGCGGTTTTTCACAATCTGCCGAAATCTTAGGCGCGGGTATATTTGCTGCTTAAATACAATTAGAGCGCGAACTCCCACCGACATTTTATCATCCGATTTAGGACTTGGAGGGAAGGCTTTTTTTTTTGTTGTTGTTTTTTTTAAACATGCAAAGCTGATAGCCGGAGTGTCACGCAGGCTGCAGAAGTCTCCTATTTGGGTTGTGGAAGGCGTGGATCTGCACGGCTTTAATCGTTTTAAGGTTTCTGGGGATTCTTTAACATCCGAGGCGTATATATTTTTGGTGCGTGGAAAAAGAAAAATAAATCGCATTTTCGGCGGATGTTTTTTCGAGCGGCTGCCTTGTTATAATGTGCTGATCGCGTGGGTGACTTCTTGCCGATAGGTATAAGGAAGAGAAGTTCGCGGGAACATGGCTCGTACCAAGCAAACTGCCCGCAAATCCACTGGGGGGAAGGCGCCCAGGAAGCAACTCGCGACGAAAGCCGCTCGAAAGAGTGCGCCCTCTACCGGCGGGGTCAAAAAACCTCATCGCTACAGGTATAGAAATGACCGGAAGAAAGTATTACGATGTGATCGCCCCGACGCGGAAATATTGATCGGAACGCGGAAAAAAATAACTTGTTTTCTGCTTCTTGGATCGAAGCAAGATTATTTCAGGAAAGTCGTTGTTGCTATTTCTTTAACGCAAAAAAAAAAATAATTATACCCGACTCATAAAATATTTTGAACGAAATATGTCTGTAAACCAGTGGAATGACCAGTAATAATGAGCCCATTTTATCAATTAAATCAAATTTTAAATAGAATCGGGAAAACGCAGTTTGAATATTAACCTAAATGTTCGTTGATTTGAGGGATGCCATAAAACGTGATATAGTGATTAACTAATGTTTGGTTTATTTGTTTCAAATATATTGGACATTTTTCATTTACAGTATTTACATTACAGTAGTTTAATTCTTCAACCCTAATTGTACAAATAGTAGAATTTGTACAGTGTACCACTAGAGGGCAGCTATCTGATCCAGAATAAGAAGTAAATACTGTAGGTTTTATATTTAAAGATTTTTTAAAACAAAAGAAATAGCAACTGGCGTAACTTGTTGGTACCTTAGAAGTCACTCATTTTATCAGCAACCTCCATGGTAAAAAGTTATTTGATTTCTTGCCAATTTTCATAGGAGTTTGAAAAAATAGAGTACACATGAATTATTGCAATTGGATTCTTTCACAATGTTCTGTTTTTCATTTAAGTCTACTTAAGTTTTTCTTGCAAGCTTATTTCATTTATGTAAATTAGTTTTGTACAGCATGTGTTTCTGGGAATATACATTGGATTTTGTATATTTTTAAGATTGGAAGGGAAATGCTTAATTATTTTTGTTTTATTTTTATTCAAAGGCCAGGTACTGTAGCTCTTCGTGAAATCAGGCGTTATCAGAAATCAACTGAACTTCTGATTCGCAAACTTCCATTTCAGCGCCTGGTGCGTGAAATTGCCCAGGACTTCAAAACAGATCTGCGTTTCCAGAGCGCAGCTATTGGTGCTTTGCAGGTAAAAAAATGTTATTTTCAGTTGTCCTTGTCCTTCCAAAACACAAGTATTCTTTGGTTGAATTGATGAGATTTGTTATAATTTACACTAAGAAATAAGTTATTGTGTTTTTGTTAGTAAATATTACAATTTCCTCTACTAATCTATTCTATATTAAAGAAAATACACAGTTTTTCTATGGGTCTTTTACCTCGCTTTCAGAAATTACAGCATTGTATCTGGCTCTAAAAAGATCCAACATATTTAGTTGTATTATATAGGTGGATGTAGGTTTGCCAACAGAAATTATACCCAAGATCTTTTCTGGAGTGCAGCCATTGATAATACTGTGCTTTTGGTATGTGAGAATGCATGTGATTGGTTGCTTCCATACAGTCACCTTATTGGTTGAGCTGTTTCTATGGTCAGTCAAAATTACATATGATTGGTGGGTTTCAGAAGTAAGGATCTATGTAGTTATAGGTGAGCTGATAACTGCCATTTTTTTTAAAAAAAGTAATCTGATTAGTAGAATCTCAGAAGCTAAAACATATTGATGCTGTTCGAAATATATTCTAAAGAAATGTGATGATACCAGTAATTTTAATTAGAGTAGCAAATGTTTGGGGAATATGCACCACATGATACTACACGAGAAAGGGACTGTTCTTTTTTTAATGTAAGTATTAATGGAGAGAAAATACCGATGTCTTTTAAGCTGCAAAAGAGTGGAAAATACACTCTTGTTGTATGTTATGTGATTGTCTTAACTTTCTACTATTATAAGCCATTGAGAGAAATTCTGATCTAGGTTGACCTTGTCAAATCTTAGCTAGATAATTTGTATCTTACAGGTGAAAGGCGAGATTTTGTCTTGCAATTGTTATGTCTTAAAAATATAAAGTTATGTCTTAAAAATATAAAGTTAAAAGTGCTGTTTTCAGATCCTGATTATTCCCGCAGTTTGTATTATGTATGTGTTTTATGTGGATGTTTGCTGCACAGTACTGCCAAAGCTATGGAGATCTATTACACTTTTCCAAAAATAATAACTTTTATTTCTATATTACTTCTCTGGATAAGAATGACATGTGGGCATTAGTCTAAGATTGCAAGATTTCATTTTTTATGGCTGTACTTGATAAGTGTTCTTATGCTGGATGACCTACACAGCAGTTTTCAAGCCCCTCTATTCAGCAGCATATTCCATTTGATCTGCATGATAAAGTGGCGTCTCTTCTTTTCTCAGGCCTGAGGGAACAGATAAACAAGAAATATTTATTCTACCAAAATCAAAATAGATATAAGCCAAAGTTCATTTTTGAGAAATAGCATGAGGCAACTTGCAGAATTCCAACTAAAACTGATTAAAACATTCAATGCCATATAACATAGGAACCTGGAAGTTGTGATCCATCAGAGTTAACATAGCCGATTGGTTATGTACTGCAGGGCGTCTGGCACCTCCGTTCAAAATCCAGTATAGAATAGATGAACATAAAACAGGAATTCACTTGAACTTATGATAGACTGTTATGTGTGGCCAATTGATTCCATTTGTCACAACGGGTCAGTTGTTTAGACCTGCTTTGAAAATGAGATTTCTGGCATGAGTCCCTAAATAAGGCAGAATCGTCATGAGATCAACATTATGACTATATGTCAAGTATTCCATGGTTTAATACTAGATAGTATGACAGTTTAACTGAAATCTAAACTGGATTTACCTTAACAAATATTACTATTTCTGCTTTATGCATTTTACATATGATCACATAGGCTTCATTGATGAATTGTGAAAACTCTTGGGACATTTGGAATATGCCCAGATCCAGTCTACTTCTATTGCAGGTCTCTCCTTAGTTCCTCCGTACTCAACATGCAACATTGATGTGCAAAATAGCAAATCAATATTGTACAGGTGCAAGTAGTCCTCATCTTATAGCAGTTCACTTAGTGACCGTTCAAAGTTACAACTGAAAAAAGTGACCTGTGACCATTTTTCACATTTATGACCATTGCAGCATCCCCAGGGTCATGTGATTTACATTTGGCTGCTTGACAACTAACTCACATTTATGATGGTTGCAGTGTCCCAGGGTCATATGGTCCCCTTTTGCAACCTTCTGACAAGCAAAGTCAATGAGGAAGCCAGATTCACTTAACTGTGTTACTAATTTAATAACTGCAGTGATTCACTTAACAAATGTGACAAGAAAAGTTGTAAAATGGGACAAAACTCACTTAACAAATTTCTCACTTAGCAACATAAAGTTTGGGCTGAATTGTGATCGTAAGTTGAGAACTACCTGTAGTCCTCAACTTACAGCCATTCGTTTAGCAATTGTTTGATGATAGAAAATACTTGTAGCTCGGGTTTTAGATTTTGGCTGTGGTTTGTTCTCCAAGCTTGTTTCAATATAATTTCTGGACGTTTTGTTACCAAACTAGGTAATATCATCAGCATGATTTTCTTGTCCTATTCTCCTTAGCTTATAAATGTCTTGTGTGTCAGCGTGTGGTCAGTTGGTCGTGCAATTGGTTGTTTGTTTGGAGCTATATTTGAATTCTGAGCAGCTGATTGGTTCTCTTGTTTTAATTGGCAGTTCGAATGGTCTGGTTTCTTACATATTCATATGCTGGATCTAGATCAATATGGATCCAGCATATGAATATGTAAGAAACCAGACCATTCGGACTGCCAATCAACAAGAGACCCAATCAGCTGTTCAGAATTCAAATATAGCTCCAAACAACCAGTCGCACGACCAACTGACCTTACTGGCACACAAGGCATTTATAAGCTAAGGAGAAAAGGCAAGAAAATCATGCTGATGATGTTACCTAGCTTGGTAACGAAACGTTCAGAAATTAAATTGAAACAAGCTTGGAGAACAAACCACAGCCAAAATTGTTTGATGATAACTGGTATTGAAAAAAAAAATAGATTTACAAGCAGTCCTCACATTTAATGACCATCACAGCATCCCCTTGGTCACATGATCAATAAGAGAGTTTTAGATACGAGATTAAAATTAGGAGTTAAGATACATAAAAGGGCGTTTTTCCATTTTCTTTCGCTTAGCTTGAAAATACACTTAGTTGTGTATTTTGTGAGAATTTGGGTGCTTTTATTTTAAATATTTAAACCATTTTCTTTTCTCAATAGGAGGCAAGTGAGGCCTACCTGGTTGGCCTGTTTGAAGACACCAACCTTTGTGCTATCCACGCCAAACGTGTCACAATCATGCCAAAAGATATCCAGCTAGCACGTCGCATACGTGGAGAGCGTGCTTAAATTCTACTAAGATGGATTTGTCATTTTCAAAACAAATAAAATCTCTTCTTCCTGTTATTGGTAGTAATGAACGTTAGATTTTTTTTTTCCCATGGGGTTAAAAGGTACCTAAGTCTATGGTTGCAGATGGAAAAATAGAGGACAGAATCGGGTATTGGCAAGTTATTTTTCATTTTCATTTGTGTGTGGATTTTTAATATAAACGTGGGGACATATAAAGCATTATTGCTGTAAAAAAACCCATTTCATTGAACAAATTTCAGCAGTTCAACTTTATAACAATTATAAATATGCCAGTCAGACTTTTCTGGACAATGCCAGCATTTGGTTTTTGTTTTTTTTAAAAAGGTAAATTTCTTATTGATGGCAACTATATGAAGTCTGTATCATACAGTAGATTCCATCCACTCATTATACTTTTCTAAGTTGTCCTACATGCAAGTATATGTTTTTAATGTTGTCTGTCTTCTGTGCTGTACCTGTAAGTTTGCTATTAAAATACACGAAATAATATTTGTTTTTTGTCTTAATTTTTAAGTATTTATTACCTATAATTCAGCAGCAATGGATACCTGTTTAAAATGCACTTAATATGCTGCATTTATATGAAAATTTATAAAATGTATGTTGTAGCTCAAATATAGAATTATGAACCCATTAAAATATTTGAGGATACAGTATCTTGTGTTACTTAGGTTGACATCAACACAAATATTTATAGAGATTCTAACAGAGATTCAGTTTTATTGAGCTGAAGCCCAGCTGTATCTATAAAACATTATTAGGTGAATTCTACAGATTTGCTGTGCTTTCAGTTTTTTATTTCTAAAATAGGTTTGCATAAGTTTTGCACCAAAAGCAATATATAAATGTTGTACCTTTAAGGTACCGTACAGACGCTGGTTGAAAATTACATGTGCAGCAATTATGACAGGCTTCTCTAACCCTTTGCGCCTAATTTATTGAAGGCAAGGTAATTTTTAGCTTCTCAGTAATATTTTTCCCAGAACAAGCCATACTCTGATGTTTCTGTCTGGAATTGCTCCCATTAAAGTTTTCAGTATATAGATGGGAACACTTTTTATAAAGAAAATACATAGTTACCAAGGTGGCTATCAAGACGTCAACAACTGGAATTTATAGAAATGCACATGTTTGAAGGAGTCGTTTTGTCCCATTGAGTTTTTTAGGGTTTTTTCCTGATTCTGTTCCTGAATTGACTCTTATCCTTGCAATTTTATTAAAAGCCAATATGACTGAATTGCCTTAGTAAAGTTTCATGCTTGTTTATTCCCGGTGCATGTTCAGTACTGCTAATGGCACCAGTAAGTTCAAAATGGGCCAAATTATTTTGAAACACAGAAAATTTCTATTATTGCTAACCTTCTGGCCAGTACAAATAAGGAACTTGCATTGTCCTGCTTGAGATAGAGGACTCTGTTTACAAGGAAAAGCTATAACTAGGTACAAAAATAAAGTTTAAAGTTTACACAGAAGCAATATTGTGGTTTACTCTATAGATTTTGTGACCGGGCTTAGGTTGGCAAAATTGTGCATATAGGAAAAACTATATTTCTGATTTGAAGACTGGTCAGATATAATTTTTTTGTTCTAATAAAATATAGTCGCATTAATTTTAATGAGAAGGTGACAGAAGCAACATGTATTTTCTTATCGCCATGTCTGGCACGATAGAATAATGCTTCTCTTAATCTGGAAACAATAATGCCACAATGCACAAAGTGAGCTATCTAGCCAGTGTGGATGTTTTTTCAGTGTGATAATACTGTGAAGATGTTAAACTTCGAGTAGTTGGGGATGTACTACTAGTTATTTGATTTATATCCCACCTTTCTATCCAGGGGCATTCGAGGAGGCAGATTAGCTGTACCTTGACACATGAGGGAGCAGTGAGGCATGCAGTGAAAGAGACAGTTACATGCCATGCTTGTCAAAATCAAAACAAGGGGAACTCTTCTTGCTGCAGAGAGATTGAGACATGAAGCTGAGTTGAAAGTAATGGAATGGGGAGTGAGAAAAAAGAAAAAAATATATTCGTAGGCGGTCGTGATTTAGTGGTCTGATATTTCACCAAATAACAGTTGCCTGCTCAGGTAAGCATTAAGTGCTAAAATGAAAAGCAAACTATCCTTATGGGTTGAGATTCCATTTGCAATCCCTCCTGCCAGAAAACCAAACATCTCCATTAACATTCATCTAAATATAGGGGGGGGGCAGTGGATTTTAATGACTACATAGCACATGGAAAAAGCAAATCTGAAAACTACAGAAAATTCTGGAGGCTTCTAACGTCACCATAAGATCTAAAAACTACGTATTGGAATTTAAATATCACTTCAGCAGTAAAAACAACATAATTTCTAAGGTACGTAGTTTACAAGCTCTAATAAGCCAAAGTACACCTTTAGAGCAGCACAACAAATCAAGAATGGACTAGCGATTAAAGCAGACCATGAGCATTCTGAAACTTGCCTGAGGAAAAACAAAAATGCAGACAAATGAAAATTGTCACAGCCTTCTTCAGATGACCAGGAGTAGTCTGGAGGCCCTCTATGGATGAACTCAACGTAAATACAAGCTCTCAGGAATCAGGCATATCATCAAACTCCAAGCCCACCTAGACCATGGTTTTCCAACTTTTTGGCTTGCTTGGACTGCATTGAGTGAAGAGGAATTATCTTGGGCTGTGTATAAAATATATAGTTAATGTATACAAATGACAAACTTCTTTTATTTTGTTGTTTACTATTATCACATGGTGCCGCATTACTAACTGTCCAAGACCACATGCAGTCCATGGGCTGTGGCTTGCACACTCCTGCCTTAAACCGTTTAGGAAACAACTGCTGTCACTGCTGCCTTTTTTGATCCTCATCCCTGTAGATACCTTGTCATCAAATATATTTACTACATGGGAAACAACCGTATTAGCTATACTGAATTCATTTCATTTACTTAAATCCACTTTTGTTTTGGCTCAGACTTCCTTTCCCTTTCTTTGATCCACTTGTGCACATTTGCTGGAGTGTGGCCTTGACAAACCACCTTTTTTTTCCATTATTCATTTAGTCTTTTTTGTAAGCCAGTTTGCTCTCTCCAGTACTAGCAAGTCTTCATGGTTTTCAGTGCATCTTCTTTACTGTCCTTCAGATATTCTTCTAATGCCATGTTTTTCTTCTTCAGTTGTTTGGTTTACTTTCAATATTCCACACCCACCTATGGTCCTTGGGAATTAGAGTCTGTCAGGATAGCTTCATAGAAGGACCTGATTCATTGTCATTATTTTTCTGGTCTTTCTTGATTGTTATTATTAACTGATATAGCTACCCATATCACAATTGTATCTCTGGGTGGTGAATTTAGGATTAAAACACTCAAAAGCAACAAAATAACAGTAAAGGCTGTAGTGATAACAATGCAGTAACAGTCCTATAAAACACAAATCATATTAAGACAAATCACACAGATGGGCTTTTCTAACCCCTGCCTGGAGAAATATCCTGGTCTTCAAAGTCTTCCAAAATGCCAGCATGATCGAGGCCAAATGAATTTTAAATTATAGACGCGATTTAAAACATAGGACCTGGCTCAAGGCCATCCTTCCACATCTAGTAGAACAGGCAGAAATGGTGGAATTACTTGAATGCTTATTAGCTTGTTTTCACATTTTGCTATATATATATATATAGTCCTCCCCTGCTTGGCCAAACAGTAGTAGAAAAATTAGTTAATCTTCATGCTAACCTTTTAAATAAGAGCAATTAAATAATGTAGAAGAACATTTCCTTCCCAAAGTGATGTGGCTCCTTTGCTTTGCTATTTAAATAGTGGAAGGCAACATCCCTTTGGGATCTCAGTTTAATTTTTTTTACATGAACTTCACTTTACATGAACTTCCACTGGAGTGGAGCATCTCTTTGAAGAACTCCTCACAGTCTTGACAGTGAGTAACATAGCCTAAAATACAACGTCTAATAGCTATTATTATTAATGTGAAGGTACTGAAATGTTCTGACTAAGGCAGCCTTTCTGGGCTCGTGGACCGGAGGGAAGGAGAGCAGCTTCAAAATTGGGTGTGCGCACACGCGCACACAGGGCCACACATACTGGCACGGTACTAACAGCCACATTCACGCATGCGCAAACGGGCCATATAACCCACCCGGGCTAGCGGTGCCATTCATGCCCTCACACATGCGCAAACGGGGCTGTGGGTGCTAGCGTTGAGTGGGGGGATGCACGCCCATGCGTGCGCACACCGGCAGCCATTTCCACAGCCCACGGGCCAAGAGCCCACGGCCCATAGGTTGGGGACCCCTGCACTAAGGAACACAAGAGCAATACCACCTATCCACTTCAAAGTTCTAATTTTAAGAGATTTTCCTTGGCGAAGGAACTGGTCCATATTGGATAATGGAGTGAGCAGAGACAGAGTAAGCAGAATCAAAAAGGGGCTGTAGGTTAGGATGCTCCATTGTTTTTAAGCTGAGGGCTACATCCAAATTTTGAGTTGTATGCTTTTAAGAATGGGAAAGGAACTAGAACAAATTAAATTTGATGTGATATCATAAACTTTTAATTCACATTCAGTGAAGTTAATAGTTTTATATCCTGTCCTATCCTCCAGTTACCTATTTCATAATTTCCCCTTCTTTCCCATTTAAAAATGGCAATTTTGTAATAACTCAGCAATTTCTGAGGGCTGCCCTCAAGATTTGAGATAATGCATCTCACCTTTCCCTAGCCAATTAAATTTAATTTGCTAGCCACCAAATTCATCTTCTTCTGTTATACAAACCTTCCTGCCACATCAAATAGTGTGACATGGTGGAGGACAAAGATTTAGCCCTTAAACTTTATATTGCAAGCCAATAATTTAATTGTTAGGACAATTGGACAAATGCAGACTGGAGAGTATGTGTATTAAGTGATGACAATGGGATTATTCCAAACCAAATTTTGTTAGGCAAGGAAAAAACTCTTTAAAAAATTAAATGAAAATGCTTCTTGACTGACATTGTCTTACTTCTAATGGAGCCATTGTCTTTAGAAAGCACAGAAGCATATATGAAAATGCAGACCTTTTAAGAACACTTTTACTTGCATAGTATCATTTATACATTAACCTAAAACATAACCTGATTTATGTGTGGTTTATGTGAATTCCCCTATTAGGTTTAACAATTTGAGTGAATGAAACCATAATGGCTTGTTTAACCAATTCAGTAGGTCCCAAAGGTGCTTTTTTCATGAGGCAACTGGACTTCCTTGATTCTTTGAAGATATTTTGCTTCTCATCCAGGGAGCTTCTTCAGCTCTGACTGGATGGTGGGGAATGGCAGGATTTATACTCCGTGAAGCCCCTAGAGCAGACATGTTAAACTCATGACGTCACGTGACGTTGTGCGAGGTATTGGAACTTTTTCCTCATTGCCGGCAATGGGGTGGGCGCAGTTTCCTCGTGATGCGTCCAGGGTGCGGGCTGGCAGTTTGACACCCCTGCCCTAGAGGCTTATCTGTGTTGTCAGGGTCACCTGAGTAGTGCAAATGGGTGTGGAGCCTTCTTGGAACTGTTGAAAGGACTGTGTTATAGGCTGGAGATAGATGATGTCAATCCCTCCCCCTCTGTTGAGAGAGGGCTGTTCAGTTTCAACATA